CTGCGCTTGGACGGCTGAACTATGAAATGCCGTTTGACATATTCAGTGCCTCCAGGAATGTGACCCAGAAGAAAGAAAGGAGATGTGGTGCTCCTAGAGGTGGGCAGGCCGGCCAGCCAACGTGGCTGGGCTCTGGAAGGGTCCATCCCATGGGCTCCCACCATATCTCAGGTGACTCTTCTTGCTCGAAGTCCAAGAAACCACAGATTCCCGCACCTTCATTACCGAGGGGCGGGCGAGGGGGCGTCTACATGCTCCTTCTCAAGCACAGCTGTCATTTGTTCCAATTTTGTCTCCCCATCCTGAATCCAGCACGAGGAGGTGTCTGGATCTCACAGAGGATGCATTCACAGAGGCTGGGGTGGAAGGATCCATCAGCACCTTCAAATTCCAGCCCTCACCGCCGCCAAGACAGGGCGCCACGTTCTCACGCTCGCAGAGACGGTCCCGCATCAGTGCTGTGTGCACAGGGCTTTCGCCTTTTCATTTGCTCACTCATTCCGACCCTGCAGGGAGGCCACCCTGGGAAGAGCCAGTATACACATGCGCATCCATGGAAAACAGACCAAGTTAAATGAGGCATGTGGTGCTGTCTTACAGGAGTGGGTGTGGTAGGTAAAAACTCAACAACAGAAGGCCCCAGACAAGGCCCTAAAAGAACTGGAGACATGAGAAAGTGCCCTGACTCATTAAATCCCATTCCTTTGTTCATTCAATAAGTACTTTTTTTTGTCTGCCACCTGTACAACTTCTTTGATGAGGTCGGATATTTTACTCATTTTTTAATTGGCTTATTTGTTTTCTTATTGTTGGGTTTTAAGCGTTCTTTATATTTTTTAAATGCTGGTCCTTTATCCAATATGGATTTTTAAAAAATGTGAGTAGGGGCCAGGAACAGTGGCTCAAGCCTGTAATCCCAACACTTTGGGAGGCTGAGGCAGGAGGATTGTTTGAGGCCAGGAGTTCTAGACCAGCCTGGGCAATATAGTGTGACCCCATCTCTGCATACACACGAAAAATTAATTATCATGGCATGATGGCTTACACCTGTAGTTCCAGCTAATTGAGAGGCTGAGGAAGGAGGACTGCTTGAGTCCACGAGGTTACAGCTCCAGTGAGCTCTAATCGTGCCACTGCACCTCGGCCTGGGCCACTGAGCAAGACAGTGCCTCAAAGGGTAGAAAGAATGGAAGGAAAGAAAGAGAGAAAGAAAGAGGGAGGGAGGGAGGGAGGGAGGGAGGAAGAAAGGGTATGTCCGTATCAAGCGCTGTCCTAGAAAGTGAACCAAACAGAAGTCCTGCCCACGTAGAGCACTTTTTTGTGGGGTGGGCACTATTTTATCAAAATGGCCAGTGAAGGTCTCTTTAGTAAGACAGCATTTGAGCAGAAACCAGAAGGAAGGGAAGGAGCAAGGCTCGAGAAAGGGAGGGAAGGTAGGTGCGTGCCAAGGCCGTGGTTTGCTACACCCATCAACCATTATCTACATTAGGTATTTCTCCTAATATTATCCCTCCCCAGCCCCCCACCCCCTGCTATCCCTCCCCTACGCCCCCACCCACTGTTCCCCTCCCTGTGTCCATGTGTTCTCATTGTTCAACTCCCACTTATGAGTGAGAACATGTGGTGTTTGGTTTCCTTGTGTTAGTTTGCTGAGAATGATAGTTTCCAGCTTCATCCATGTTCCTATAAAGGACATGAACTCATCCTTTTTTATGACTGGATATGTGCCACATTTTTTTCATCCAGTCTATCATTGCTGGGCATTTGGGTTGGTTCCAAGTCTTTGCTATTGTGAATAGTGCCACAATAAACATACGTGTGCACATGTCTTTATAGTAGGATGATTTATACCAGTAATGGAATTTACCAGAGCTACTGCTGGTGCTTTGATCTTGGACTTCCCAGCCTCCAGAGCTGTGAGAAATAAATCTGTGCTATTTATAAGCCACCCAGGCTATGGTATTCTGTCTGAGCAGCTATGGCATTCCAGGATACTATATGCTGTCATCCATTCTGTCAAATGGATTAAGACATGATAAACCAGGCTGGGTGTGGTGGCTCACGCCTGTCATCCCAGCACTTTGGGAGGCCAAGGCAGGCAGATCATGAGGTCAGGAGATCAAGACCATCCTGGCTAACACAGTGAAACCCGATCTCTACAAAAAATGCGAAAAATTATCCAGGCATGGTGGCATGTAACTGTAGTCCCAGCTACTCGGGAGGCTGAGGCAGGAGAATCTTTTGAACCTGGGAGGCAGAGGTTGCAGGGAGCCAAGATCGCTCCACTGCACTCCAGCCTGGGTGACAGAGTGAGACTCTGTCTCAAAGGAAAAAAAAGACATGAACCGAAGAGGACAAAGCAGAGTCTTAGATCCACAGGCTCACCACTGTGAGCTTAGATGTTAAAATCATCAGAGGCTGTCACTCGCCCACCCTAGAGAGGTCACTCGTTTGTGCCCCTTAGTTGTGCCCTCATGGATGTTCACTTATCACTGTCTACCAGAGACAGTCTCTACATTAGGTACAAGCCAAACCTTACTGTGTATTAAGCAGGTTTATTTCCAGATGCTTCACCTGGGGCCATTTAGTCTCTTTGGACTTTGGTTTCCTAACTCATAAGATGACAATAGTAGCGTCTAATTTGGCTGTTATGAGGTATAAATGAAAAGAAATGTATAGGCAAAGGATGGTGGGGAACGCAGGCACCAAACACACAGTACAACTGTCTGGGAAATAGTAAAGTCTCAATAAATGCCAGCTGTCATTACTGTCATGTCTAGCACTGAACTTCTGGGAATCAACTGCCTCTCTCCTTGAACCCTCTCTAGGGCCGGTGGGGCTTTCAGCAATGTAGAGGGGCAACTCGTATCTTGCAAGGATCAGTGAGAGGTGGGGACAAGCCGCTCTCTCTCATCACTTCTCCAAGGGGGTGGTTGCTGAGGCTCCGGAAAGGAATTGGCAGAGCTCGGACCCCCTCAAGGCTACTGTGCTCCAAGCATGTGGGAGTTCATTTCAAGCTTGATGCACACTCTTTGCTGAGCAGTTGCCAAGGAACGAAGTAATCTTGTGACAAATACTGCCTGATGCTCTGTTTGCTGGTCGAAAGGGTTTTAGGTGGTGTCAAATTTTATTACCAGCATTCCTGGTCTCCGTGAAAGAATCATGTAAGAAGACAAGGTATGTCAAAGGACAAAACCACCGACCCAGATGGGCACCCCGCATGTAACGGGCACTTGGTTTCCTTTTGATATTGACTCAAAGAGGGACTGGATTATAAAAAGAGTAACAGCAAAACCACACGCTTAAGCTGACCGGTAGTCTAACACTGGCTAGATGACGTTTGTTGATAAATTGATTTCTTGGGAAATCCTGGGCAAGCTCCTGGAGGTGACTCTGTGGTCCTACCGCCACCAGCTGTGACCTCGGATGAGTGGGTGAACACACACAGCATGGTGATGGAGCAGGCACCAGGGACCACCTGCCTCCCCTGTCACAGATGGCTTAGAAACAAGCTACTCACATACTTCCTAAGATCTGCTGCATCCAAACAGACCAAGCTCAGAGAGGCTTCTGAGGCAGACAGGTGCGGGGAGAGAGGATGGTTCTTCTCACATGGGTATTTAAGGAGTGTAGTGTTGCGGGTGAGTGACTTTTGGGTTAAGTTCTGCTGATTATATGAAGCAATGGAATAACGGACCACTGCCAATCGAGTATTGATATTGCAGGTCAGTAAGAATTTCTGATACTGAAGTAGTAGTTCCCTGGAGAGCTACTATTATCACATGGCTTGGTTAACTTTTTTTTTTATAAGTCTGAGCATGAATTTCACACACAAAGCCATACATTGACAAAGACAGAATGTTCCTGAAATAAAATCACAGCATCTTATTGCATACACTATATCATCCAAGGTCAAAACTCTTTCTTAGAGATATTTAAAACTATAACTGAGTAAAAAGGAAAATCGATGCAAATTTGCTTTTACAAAATTTGAAGATAAAAGAGTAAGGCACAAGATGCAGTCAGCTACACATGCTTTAGAGAACAGGGCTTTGCTATCGGGTCTGGGACCCCACACCCTGGGCATGGCTGCCTGGCAGCAAGTGGGACCCATACCCATGTCCCCTCCACTCGCTCCCAGGGTTCGTCTTTACAGGATGGTGGGGAGCACAGGCACTAAGGCAGGAAGGCCCAGGCAGGGAGATGCCCCACACCCTTCACTTTCTCTCAGCCTCTAACCAGGGGAATGGGACCCTAGGCACCAAAAGTCAAGCATGAGGAAACGTCTGGGCCACCTCTGGTTGTCACAGGCGGTCTGACAGGCGTTTTGCGGATGCTAAAGTGCCAGAGTTTTCAGGCTACTTGGATGGTTTACAGTGATGATGAGTTGGAGTCTTTAAACTCAAAGGCATCCTAGACACCCAGGATGATGGCAACCCCGTTCATCGTGCGGTTGTTCACTGAGCCGCCTATGAAGCTGAGCCTAGAGTCATACCTGCAACCACAGGGAGACATCATCACCCTTTATGGAATCTAGATTTATTTTCAGGATCTATTCTGATGAAGGAGACTTGAGAAGCTGGGAAACTACAGACGAATTTAAGTTTCAAGGTCAGATGAGTTTGCTACTCAACTTCCATCACAGTTGTAGCTTTCCCTCCCAGAATACAAGGCCTGACAGGCATCAACTAGGAGGCAAACTTCACTTTCAAGACTGGGAGACGCCTGGCTACAGTCAGACCCTACCGCAGGGTTAGAGAAGTCTCTCCAGTAAGGCTGGGAGTCCGGCTTCCAATAGATCTACAAAGAAGGCCCAGAGTAAAAGGTACGCTGAGTGGCTGGCGGCCTCTAGTGGTCACCGCTGGTCATCAGCTTTCCTCCAATACAACCAGTTGTCATGAGAATACAAATCAGGATGAAAAAGAAAGTTTAGTATTTTATCAAAGAAAACCTTCAGATACTAAATAGTTGTCCTGAAACAAAAACGATTTACACATTTACTTCTGACTGTGTATTTATTACGTTCTAAAACCTTGAATAACTGCCATTTTAAAAATTCACACTAAAAGAAAACGAAGAAAACTAGATTTAACATCTTTTACAGAGAGTGGTAGGTGGCTTTTTAAATTATAATTATTGTGCCCAGGAGAAAGGTGAGCTCATCTTTTCGGAAGCGTCATCAGCTGGTGAACTTCATCTTGGTCTCCACTTTATGTCTTTTACTCCATGAAAATGTCTTTTCAAAGCAGTGTTATCCGCCCATGGAGAGTTTAAACAGGCGTCATCATCATTTTCTTCTAATCTCTGGAAATAAATATGTTTTACTCAGGCAGGCATTTCAGGAAAGTGTTTTGCACATAAAGAGACTGAAGAAAGAGTTCGCAACTGACCTCTCCTCACCCTGCCTTCTAGAAGCAGGACACGCCCAAGTCTAATGCTGGGGGACACCTAGCAGAACCCTGACAACCCTGCAGACACGCTCTAGAAAGACCCCTCCCGGCACCCTGTAGAGCTCGCCGCTCCTCACCAGCCCCAGGTAAGGCATGCAGGCTAAGCCTGGGCGCCAGCCCTGCGAAGAGCCCACCTGCCCCCGCTACCTTGAGCTCTTCTTGCCTCCTGTGATAGTACAGCATCAGCTGCTTCTGCTCCTCACTGCTGATGATGGGCTCTCGGGCTGGAGCGCCGTGTCCTCTCTGCAAAGAGCAGAGCAGAGGAAATTGTGGATTAAGGTGTTCTCCCAGTGACAATCCTTAAAGTTACAACGAATGTTTTACAATTGCCTTTGCCAACTACTAAAAATAAACAGGTCCCCATGTCTGGTCAGCTGAAGTGAATCATCAAGGGAAGCCTTGCTCTTGAGCAGCCCTGAACCCTGGACTCTCACTGTGTGGAGACCAAAGGCTGCACAAAGCCATCTCTGTCTCCGTCATTCCCAAGGCAGACACTGCAGGCAGGTCCAGTGGGAAAGGGAGGATGCTCAGAGCCACAGACCCTGGATCTACGTAGGGTGGACGGCCCCATTTCCCCACAGTCACAGCCTGGTGACGTAGGAGGCACTGCAGGTAGAGCTACATGATGTCCTTCAAAGGTCTCCAGCCTTTCCTCCTCCTCCTCCTCCTGTACAGAGCATCCACAGTTTGAAAAAGCCTGGAATCAGCTACATTTTACATTTCAAGGAAAATATTTGTTTACTTGCAGCCCTATTTTTAAGGTTGGAATTAACATAGTATGTTTCCTCTCCCCACAGAGTAAAACAAACTCTAGACACTGCCGATCAATCCGTATTTTCCTCCAGTTTTTGCTGGTGTGCAGAAAGAGGATATTTTCAGTTTAAATTCAAGCCAATAGGATTAAAATATTTGTACCAGTAGTTTAAATCTTTCACATTCACTGCACACTTTATCAGTTTGAAGGGAAATAACAAAAAATACTGACGTGTTAAAGCAAAAGCACTTACTTGCTGAATCTTGGCGATAATCTTGGTTTTCTCATTTTTCCCCACGTAGTCTGAAAGCTTCTTTGTTCTTCTCAGCTCCTTGGCTGCCCACCACAGCTGTGCCTCTGACTCTTTAATGACACTGAGCCCTGCCTGGGGCCAATCGTAAGAACTGGCTTTACTGTGTGTTCCCACCTGGGGGGCAGAGCCCAGCTGAGCCACTTTTCAGCAGGGGGCAGGGGACAGATTTCCCCATGCGCTCACCATGGAAGGGCCTGACTTCCCCACCTCACTCCAAAGTCCTGGCTGATTTCAGTACCTTCCCTGTTAAGTTTCCATTTATGCCCTGACTCAGTTAACTTCCTCCTCTGGGCAACAAGGAAATCCTATCTTTTTTCCACCTTGATCTACACAGTTCGTCTTAGATCCGTAGGCCACTGCCAGGGAAGGACACTGACATCATGCTGGGTGTTTAAATCGAGGTAGAACAGGGCTGCCTGTGTACTTAAATGGAATTTATTTAAGATGGTTTAGACAAAGAATATTGTCCAACAGGATAAGAAGTGAGAAAACCCAAGGAAAATGGAACATAAGGGTCAGAAAATAGCATGAAGCAATAGGTAAGACTAGAAACACAAACTTCCATGCAAAGGAACGGATACATTTGGATAGAAATAGGAAGAAATTAGGTAGCTGGCTTCTTAGTGGCCAAAGGCAGCAGAAATGTTTTCAGTTACTCCTGAAGGGCAGCCTTACCAACTGTGTCCACTGCCTCCTGTGTATGGGGACCAAAGCCCTCACCCATGAGTACCACATTGTCAGGGGCCACTCCTGAATCCAGAACTCTGCTCTAAAGCAGGGCGTAGCAAACCTGAAAGCTGTGTAGGGAGCAACACACTACATCCAGAGGAGGGGCATCTAATCCGAAGGGCTTTGGGGGGCATGAACTCACCCTCCGGAGTGCCCACCCAAGAACTACATACCTGCGTTCCCGACAAATCTTCCTTATTTTCAAACTCCATCCGGATGGGATCATACGGTGGCAATCCCATGGGATAAACAATCATCACTGCACCTCGAAGCTGGTCCAAGGCATCCTTCACCATCTCCATGGTAACACAGACACCGGCTTCCACTTGTTTCTGCAAGCAGAAAGTCATCGTTATCACAGTGTGGCTAATAAATACAGTAAACTCGACCAAGATCTTGTACAAGACCCTTGCCAGAGACTTCCAGAGCAACCAAAAGAAACCAAGCAGTTCTTGCTCCCAAAGTGACTACCGTCTATTTTAGGGACTGAGCCAAGCACACCGCAGCCTACATCATAAAGCTCAGATGGGGGCGAGGATCAGGAGATGCGGAGAGGGAGCAGGCACTGCAGGTGGGCCTCGACGTGCGGACGGACTGAAGGGGTGGGGACGGCAGCAGGGTGCTTCAGGACAAGCTGAAACAAAGAAAAGCACGCGCCAGCCCCTCGGCTGGGGCAGGAAGAAGAAGAGAAGATGAGGCCAGCTCCTGGGCTGGAGTTTGTTTTTGAATGGCCACAAAAGCCAGGCTGAGGAGTTCACATTTCCTCTGTTAGGCCAGGGCAGTGACTGCCTTTTCTGGGAAGGAGTGGTAATGCTGAGAGATTTATCTTGTAGTTGGTATAGGACAGACCTAGTTGGCAGAGTACGGTGGCTCATGCCTTACATAATCCCAGCATTTTGGGAGGCTGAGGTGGGCGAATCACCTGAGGTCAGCAGTTTGAGACCACCCTGGCCAACATGGCAAAAACCTGTCTCTACTAAAAATTCAATTAGCTGGATGTGGTGGCAGGCACCTGTAATCCCAGCTACTCAGGAGGCTGAGGCAGGGGAACTGCTTGAACCCAGGAGGTGGAGGTTAGGTGAACTGAAATCACACCACTGGACTCCAGCCTGGGAAACAGAGCAAGACTCTGTCTCAAAAAAAAAAAAGGAAAAGAAAAAAAGAACAGACCTAACTGGAGGGAGACCAGGGAGTAGGCTCTGAAGAGTACAGAGGATGGTATGATAAATAACAAATATATCTGGTCTTTGTTACTCAGTTCCAGGCACAGAGCTCCAAAACTCTTGGAATTTCCTGAGTGACAGGAGTGTCTGGTTATTTATAATGAGCCCCTTCTCACCATACCCGAGTTTGTGCTAATACAGTAACTTGGTTTGAAGGAAGGGGCTGGCCACGCCAGGGAGACCAAGCATGTGGTTAGAGGGTGGGAGCTTTTGGCCTCAGCCCCTTCCTCCACCTCCAGGGGCTGGAGGTTGGCATCAAACACGTGGTCAGTGGTTTAACCAATCATGCCCACTGAACAAAACATCCGCAAAAATCCTGGACATTATGGCTCAGTGAAGCTTCCTGATTGGTGAAGACGCTGATGTGCTGGATGATGCACATCAGTGGGGGTGTTGTGGGAAGCTCCAATTTTGCAGTCAAGCTGGGCACATGTATGGCTGGCCTGGGGACCTCATTTGCAGCTGGCGTCTGAAATAAGGGGAGTCTTGCCGGTGATCTTGCTCTTTAACTTCTGGGGTCTGATGCTAACTCCAGGCAGTCAGTGTCAGAATTGAAGGATCGGCCCTTGACCTGTGGGGTCTGCGCTATGCCTGAGTAGTTCGTGTCAGAATGGAATTGAATTGACTGTCAGGACCCTGGTGGGCATCCAAATGCAAAAGGCTACAGGGGAGCCTTAAAGAAAGCCAGAGCTGTGGAGATGAAAGGAGGAGGTGAATTAAAGAGGCATCATGGAAGCAGACAGTACAGGACACCGCTTCAAACCCAGGTGTGACAGAATGAGGAAGTGTTGAAGATGACATTGAGGATTTGCCTATACAACTAAGACACTCAAGAGATCGAGACCATCCTGGTCAACATGGTGAAACCCCGTCTCTACTAAAAATACAAAAAATTAGCTGGGCATGGTGGCACGTGCCTGTAATCCCAGCTACTCAGGAGGCTGAGGCAGGAGAATTGCCTGAACCCAGGAGGCGGAGGTTGCGGTGAGCCGAGATCGCGCCATTGCACTCCAGCCTGGGTAACAAGAGTGAAACTCCGTCTCAAAAAATAAAAATAAAAAAAAAATAAACAAAACTAAGACACTGTAGTTCTCTTACTGGAAACAGAGAAGCTCGTAGGAGGTGCTGATTCTCAGGGACAAAACTCAGGGGGAGAGAAATGAGGAGGCAAAGAGCTCATTTCTAGAAAACTGGACTTCAAAGTGCTGACCAGTGTTCAGATAGAACCATCTCGCAACCAGCTGGAAATTCAGGTTGCAAGTGAAGCAAGATGTCGGGGGAAAGGATGGAAGCTTCAGTTATCTGCAGAGGGTGGAATTTGCATTTGGCAGAGTAGATAAGATGCCAAGGGAGGAGCAAGAAAAATTAATAAAAGAATTAAAAAAAAAAAAAGTTGCCAAGGGAGGAAGCGGGCAAAGGATAGAGTACTTTGAGAAGTACACAGGCAAAGGGAAGAAGTGAGGTGACCCAGAGAGGAGTTCTACATACAAAGTGTGTGTGGTGAAAGGTGCAGAGCAATGGCAGACCACTGTTTCCTTGCCATGGCCTGAGATGTGCTCACGTGCCCAGATGCCATCACCACGCAAACACTAGACTCAACCAAGGCTTTTCCTGCAGGGCTTCACAGAGCCTTTTTACATAGAGCCTTTACTATACTAACAGGCACAGAGCTTCAGGGCAGCCTTTGCTGAGGCTCTTCAAAGATTAGTCAAGAGCTTGATGAGTTTGAGAAATATTGGTTTAAAAATAACAGTTCAGCTGGGCATGGTGGCTCGTGCCTATAATCCCAGCACTTTGGGAGGCTGAGGCAAGCAGATCACCTGAGGTCAGGAGTTCGAGACCAGCCTGACCAACATAGTGAAATCCTGTCTGTACTAAAAAATATACAAAATTAGTTGGGCGTGGTGGCACATGCCTGTAATCCCAGCTACTTGGGAGGCAGAGGCAGGAGAATTGCTTGAACCTGGGAGGCGGAGGTTGTGGTCAGCCGAGATCACGCCATTGCACTCCAGCCTGGGCAACAAGAGTGAAATTCTGTCTCAAACAAACAAAATAAGTTTTGCTGAGCAAGTCAGGAGAAGCAGAAGGAAAAGTGGTTATCAATTGAGAGACTTGCAGTGAGGGTGGTAGCAACTAATATCACCAACACACAAATACAAGCAACAGATACAGATACCACTTCTTTTAATAGCCTTAAATTCTTTTTCTCCAGACATACATTATCTATACATCAGTGGTATAAATGTATGTTTCTCCCTGTATAAAATAGCCTTTATATAAATACTGAAGATGATTACAGAAACTGATTTATATCAAATACATACTAAGTCAATCAAGCATCTGGAGAGCTACCCTATGGTCTGGAGAGCTTCTCTATGGCGTCTACTTAGTTTTGTTAAGTTCTTCCGAAAGGTAAAAGAAATGAAATCAACATTTGTATTATACACGTTTGTATTACACATGAACCTACATTTACACAAGTCAACAAAAATGTGTGTCTGCCTATAGGTACTGAGAGGACTCTGGGCAACTGTCGGGATTAAGAAAGGAAAAGTTGCGGCCTACCCCAAATATGCTGGTTTCCTTTGCCTTAGGAAGGCTGAAAGGGAAGCTGGCTGAGAGGTAACTCTGGAAGCCACAGTTGGAGTTTTATCTCAAAAGACAAGCTTTAGAGCAGCATTTTAAAAAGCCAACCTTAGATATTATTGCTTTGGCTTCTTCTATAGTCTTCTTTAATACTTGCTTCATTTTCTCATTTGGAGCTATGAAAATAAAAAGGAGAGAGGGAGAGACAGAGCTGTCAAATACATAGCCTCTTTAAAACTCTTCTGAAACATCTCAGTCCCTTCTGTCCGAGTCAGGGGTGAGTGAACTGAGAGAGTGCAAGTGTGGAATTTAGGGAAGAGAGGCAAAACCCTTGGCTGCGGGAAATTAGGTGAAGAGCTCTTCCCAACAGCAGACACCTGGAGTGTGCTTTCTGCAAAGTGGAAAGGCTACAAAAAACCCGAAATGCATGTCGTTGGATGAACAGGGTCAGCGAACTTTTTCTGGAAAGGGACAGATAGTAAAATATTCCAGCTTTGCAGGCTACACAGTCTCATTGGGTGTAGTTACTCAGCTCTGCCATAGCAGCACAAAAGGAGACAGTACTTAAATGAATGGGGTGGCTGCATCCCCATACAATTTTATTTACATGAAAAGGCAACTGGCTGAATTTGGCCTGTAGCCCATAATTTGATGACCCCTAGAGCAGGAAGAAATAATAACTTGAAAGCTTAGAAACAAACAAACAAAAAAAATGAAGATGAAATGCCCAAATATAATAGGGAAAATGGGGCAAGTTGAAAGCATATATTCCTAATAAATAACACTATTAATTAGACATTGAAAATATTAGAAACACAAGATTGTATTAGAATAGAAGTGGTTAGGCCAGGTGCAGTGGCTCATGCTTACAATCCCAGCACTTTGGGAAGCCAGAGCGGTGCATCACCTGAGGTCAGGAGTTCGAGACCAGCCTGGCCAACATGGTGAAATCCTGCCTCTACTAAAAATACAAAAATTAGCTGAGCGAGGTGGCAGGTGCCTGCAATACCAGCTACTCTGGAGGCTGAGGCAAGAGAATTGCTTGAACCCAGGAGGCAGAGGTTGCAGTGAGCTGAGACTATGCTACTGAACTCCAGCCTGGGCCACAGAGTGAGACTCTGTCTCAAACAAAACAAAACAAAACAAAACAAAACAAAACAAAACAAAACAAAACCATATTGGTTTAAGGATGAATACTGAACTGTTAACTGGCTCTCATATTTTTTTTCCTTCATTGATATAATTCCTTCTGAAAATTAGACTCTAGATTGAGAATAAGTTTAGGTAAGAAAGATATGGAAGACAACCATTTTTCAGGTTAACATTCAAAGGAAATAATACTAGGAATTCCTACTATCCCTGATATTTTTAAAAATATATTTTTGAGCTTATAAAGGACTTACAGGGATCCTGTCCTTCTGCTCCTAACAGTGTTTTAGGGCTGATCAATTACACCTTTTTAAATGGAGCTTTTACTGCAGGTTAAAAAGAATAAGCTATCAAAAAGGATTATTATCAATTCCACATGATCAGCCAAATACTGAAAGGAGAAGAATTTCTTCAGTGCTTTGCCACGTACTAAAGTGCACGGCCCCAGGGAGAGGCAGGTCCTTGATGAGTGAAGTCCCTGCGGTGACATTCCTTCCCTTTCCTCTTTCACACAGTATCTCTAAAGATACCCTGACCTCTGCAAACAGTAATGAAACACAACTTTGAATACATTTCAGTAAGTATCTGCCAACAATTATTAGGTTGAACCATATGAAGTTGCCAATGCTCAACCATTTTTGACCTACAGAAGGGAAAGGGTCATTTCATCTGGTTCATCGAATATATTTAAAAGCGAGCTGCAACTTATTAAGGGCAAGACAAAACTTCCTTTATCTACCTAATTCATCCTAGATTAGAGTTTTACCACAGGAGCTACAAAGTGCAGTATTTTGTAAGTCTATAGAGAAATTGTGAGGTCGATTTTTGAATGAAAAGAACGGCTTTCTCACACCTGTAATCCCAACACTTTGGGAGGCTGAAGCGGGCAGATCACTTGAGGTCAGGAGTTTGAGACCAGCCTGGCCAACATGGTGAAACCCTGTCTCTACTAAAAATACAAAAATTAGCCAAGCATGGTGGCGCGTGCCTCTAGTCCCAGCTACTCAGGAGGCTGAGGCAGAAGAATTGCTTGAACCTGAAAGGAGGTTGCAGTGAGCTGAGATCACACCACTGCACTCCAGCCTGGGCAATAGTGCAAGAATCCGTCTCAAAAAAAAAAAAAAGAACAAAAGGAACTTTTTCACACTTACGGATGTATCAGGCATGCACACAGAGGAGAGATGCTCACTTACCTTGTCCGTTCCTGCGTCCAATATCATCCTTTTTAAATACAGCACCGCCGCTGGGTACACATTTTTCACCCCACTCATCCTTTAATTTCAGTTCTTCAATCTGATCATCGGTCAGTCCTTGCATATTAGGAGGGAGAAATATGCCATGTTCTGCTAATTCTTCCATTTCTTAAAAATAAGCAAAAGACAGTAGCACAGTCATCATAACATCTCATACCCCATTGGAATGTAGGCTGCCAAGGGCCCGGGGGTCTTTCCCTTCTGGCTCACTATTTTGTGGAACAAATATTTATATGTCACTTGCTAAGTGCCAGACCTGGCCTGGACCCTTGACAGAGTCACTGATCCACCCATCCTCAGCCAACAGCACAGGGAGCTCAGGAACTCGCCACCTGTCCCAGGCAGTCAGCCTGTAGATTCTGTGCTCCAAACATTTGTGCTATCTTGTGCTTCCTGGAACTAAGGAGGGGCAAAATTACTACTCATTGAACACCTGAATATATATTCACATGGGTTTTATGGTTTTCCAAGTGCACTGACAAGGACTATCTCATTTAATTTAAACTTGTACATCAGGCAAGGCAGTTATGAACTTCCCCCCACATTCCTTACTTTACGGTTGTATCATGTCAGGCTTGCTCAGACGGCACAGCTGCAGCTGATGTCTTTTTTTGAGACAGAGTCTCACTGTATCACCCAGATTGGAGTTCAGTGGCGCAATTTCAGCTCACTGCAACCTCCACCTCCTGGGTTCAAGCAGTTTTCCTGCCTAAGCCTCCTGAGTAGCTGGGATTACAGGTGTCCATCACCATGCCCGGCTAATTTCTGTATTTTAGTAGACAGGGTTTTGCTATGTTGACCAGGTCGGTCTCAAACTCCTGGCCTCCAGTGATCCACCCACCTCAGCCTCCCAAAGTGCTGGGATTACAGGCATGAGCCACTGAACCTGGCCTGAGACCTTCTATAAAAGTTCATGTCAAGACTTCATAAATAATTTACACAAATCAGTGGGGAAGATTTAAAGCAGCTTACATCCCTCAAAGGTAGCAGAGACGGGACAAGGGACTTGGGTTTCTAGTATCATGTCCACTATTCAAAAACATGGCTTTCTATTTTTCCTAATCCTTATATTTTCACCCCAAAACCAGTCCACATTTTAACTTTGCAAAATCACCTTCCTTCCTCCCTCTCTTCTTCCTTCCTTCCTGTGAAGGAGGCACCTGGATCTAGGTGTTCCCATAACACTGTGTGAGGACATCACCTGACCTGAAAGAACACATTATGAACAAATGGTATAACTGAATGGGATGATTTCTTGCCTCTCTCCCCATTGCAGTCTAAGCTACTTATTTCTTAAAAATAAAGAGAGGTTAGACAACATCTATCACACTCATCATTATAACACCTCATACCCCAGTGGAATGTAAGCTTTCAGGGGTCAGGGGTCTTGCCCATCAGGCTCACTATGTTATGGAACAAACATTTATATGCCACTTGCGATGTGCCTGGACCTCTGAAGTGGGGGCACCGGGACTGGTCTTACTCATCCTTATCTTTTTTTTCTCTGAGACAGGGCCTCGCTCTGTCGCCCAGGCAGCAGTGCAGTGGCACCATCTTGGCTCACTGCAGCCTCTGCCTCCTGGGTTCAAGCAATTCTCATGCCTCAGCCTCCTGAGTAGCTGGGACCACAGGCATGCGCCAGCATGCCAAGCTCTGTTTTATATTTTTAGTAGAGACAGAGTTTCACCATGTTGCCCAGGCTGATCTAGAACTCCTAAGCTCAAGGGATCTGCCTGCCTCAGCCTCTCAAAGTGTTAGGATTACCTGTGGGAGCCACTGTGCCTGATCCCATCCTTATCTTCTGAAGGCTGAGCCCTAGTGCCTGCCTGAGTCACAGCTGACACTGGTGACTGCAGAATAAATCAATGAATTCTAAGTTCACTAATGTGACTCTTAGCATTCAGCACATTTCTAATTTATAATGTTCTAGAAAAAGAAGATGAATTCCTTTTCTCTGCAAATGCTTTAACTTAAAAATAACATTTAACATTGCATTTGTGCTGGAAGCTCAATTAAGAAACTACACATAAGTTTCAAGAAAAGAACCATGACCCTCAAGAATTTCTTCATGGTGCAAAAATTACATATTCATGCAATGTAATAAATACATTTAATAATAAATCACATATTCATGTAATTTAATAAATCACATAAATAAATGTACTATTTATTACAAATAGCTGTTTATATTTTCTTTATGTACATAATGATAGTTATATACTTAGTAATATCCTAGACCACATCAGGAAGTATCATCCTGTCAAGTTTAAGAGCTATCCGTTTAATGCAGTAGCTACTTGCTGAACTTGGTGATTAAATTTATTTAAATTAATTAAAATGAGCCGAGCACGGTGGCTCACATCTGTAATCCCAGCACTTTGCGGGTGAGGAGGAGGACATCACCTGAGGTCAGGAGTTCGAGACCAACCTGGCCAACTTGGTAAAACTGTCTCTACAAAGATAGAAAAACCAGCTGGGCGTGGTGGCAGGAGCCTGTAATCCCAGATACTTGGAAGCTGAGGCAGGAGAAATGGCTTCAACCCGGAGGCGAAGGTTGCAGTGAGCTGAGATTTCGCCACTGCACTCCAGCCTGGGCGACACAGTGAGACCCTGTCACTACACACACACACGCACACACGCACGCACTCACTCTCACTCACTCTCTCTCTCTCAACGCGAGCAACAGGCCGTTTCTAGGGCGGGGAAAGATCGCCAAGGCTCCTTCAACTGTAAGGGGCCGTCCCAAAGCCAGGTGGCTCGCTGCTTTACCTCGAACGACGCAAAATAAGAAATTCAGCTTTTAAAGCCCACCCAGTTCTCATCTCACCTCTCACACTGGTTAATTGCACTAAATCCGCTCTTCAGCCCGTCCTTTCGGCTTCCTCCTCCCACCCCAGCCCGTTTCCACTTACTAGCAGCGCCCCAAATGCTGGCTCCGAGAGACACCTGGGCCCGCCTCCCCGCCGGGGGTGCCAGACCGGCCGGACCTTCTCCGGTTCCTCATTCATCTCCGGTTAACCCCTGCGTCCCGTTTCACCCCCAGCTGCTGAAAACCTCTTCGATAATCGTCACAAACCTGACCCCTCGCCCCAGCCTGCCCCTCTTTCTCCACCCCACGCCCGTCTCTCGGTCTGTCCGGGGCCGGCCGCGCCCGCGGGCCGCACCTGAGCAGAGGCGCTGCACCTTGAGTCGCCCATTGTAGACCCGGGCCACCTGCACCGTGAGCTCCTCCAGCTCGGTGCTCCCGGGCGCCTGCAGCAGGAACTGGCTCTCGTCGCCCCGCTTCACGTGCAGCAGAACCATGGCAGTCCCGCCAAGGCGCTGGGGCGGTGAGAAGGTCCGAGTTACGTGGCCCGCGGGTCCGGTCGGCCGAGGGTCACTGGATCGCGAGCAGCCGCGACGCACTAACCGCTGCTCAGAGGCCGGAACCTCAGGCTCCCGCGTCCGCGGTGCGCGAGGGAAACCGCACTCAGGCCCGGAAGTAGCTGTTGCTAGGAGCAACAGTGAAACAGAGTCAGAGGAGCCGCCAGTTCAAGTTCTGAACCCAAATGGGGAAGGCTGGGGTGCGCGGAGGCCCAGCAATCTACGCCCGTATGTAACCACTGCCGGGGTAACTACCCACACAGCCTGAGAGGGCAGCTGATTCTGGCCGGACCGGCGGAACGGGATTAGCGGAGCCCCGTCCCGGAAGTGGCTGTTGTCGGGGCAACTTTCCAAACACAGACCAAGCCGCTGAAGGGGAGGGCGGACCGCCGAATCGATTGGTCTGGTGCCCGAGATTCCACTCAGGGAGATACGTGGGCTGAGCTTGAGAGTTACTAGATGGGGAATGGGAGGGACAGCGGGCACCACAGGCTTCGAATTCCGCAGCTACCTTCCCACACACCACCGCTCCACATCCCACCGTCCCTTCCGCCGCCCTCGGTCTCCACTTCCGGCAACGCCTCCACGCTGCTTCCTGCCTGGGAAAGTTAGGCGGCTGCAACTTGGGTCTCTGTCGCGCTGTTTGCTGCTGTTTGCCGAGTCTGCTTTTCAGGACGGAGGGGCCAGGGCGAGTGTCTGCACTTCTTCGTTCAGGTTGATTTGGATGGCGTAGCTAGGGTAGTTGCAGCAGCTCCTTGCAGAGCGACCCTCTCCTCTAGCGGTCTCTTGTTGAAGGCAATAGGCGTCAGTCGCTGTTTCTTCCGGGCGCCTCAGATCGAGTCACTGCTCCTATGGAACTTATATTTTAGTGTGACAAAGAGAAAACAAAAATAAATGGACAGGTCGGGCGCTGTGGCTCACGCCTGTAATCCCAGCGCTTTGGAAAGCCGAGGCGAGCGGATCACCTGAGGTCAGGAATTCGAAACCAGCCTGGCCAACATGGTGAAACCCCGTCTCTGCTAAAAATACAAAAATTAGCCGAACGTAGTGGCGCGTACCTGTAATTTCAGCTACTAGGGAGCCTGAGGTAGGAGAATCGCTTGAATCCGGGAGGCGGAGGTTGCAGTGAGCCGAGATCGTGCCACAACACTGGGCGACAGAGTGAGGCTGTGTCTCAAAAATAATAAATAAACAAACGGACAATACAAATGCAAACACAGGTCTAAAGAAAACTAAACAGGTTGATGGACTTCTTAGATTGGATGGTCAGGGAATGCCTTAAGGGGTGCTAATTTGCAGTCCTTAGAACGACAGGGTGGTGCAAGGCCTGTACTCGTTAGTTATCTCGTGGTTCTTGGAGGGGAGCAGTGCTGAATACATATTGATTTGACTGTTACAAGCCCTGCTACTACTACCTGTTCCTTAAGCTTTGGAACTTTGGTCTTTTTGGTTGAAACTGCATCCTGGGGAGTGTGTTGTGGAGGGGGTGTGTGGGGAGAAAGTGTATGACCATAGTCCCGGAAATGCTCAAAGCCAATCCGGGCTTCATAGGAAGATTGATAGACTGATAGTGGATAGAAGGGGGATGGAGCCTTGGGAGAGGGGAAGATTGTTATTATTTCTAGTACTGTTGAGGCAGGGATCACCCAAATCCTCGAACAGGCATCTACTGGTCTGATTGGCAAATGTCTATCTCCCCAGAGGGAGAAATGGGCTGCTATGTTTTCTTAGCTCCTGCCTGTCGGCCATAAGGTCATGCCCTTTCTCCTGAATCGAATTCTGTACTCGTCAACTTCTTAAAATTTTACAGTATAGCCTTTCTGATAGAGAGCTATGTTCACAAACTTAGATATTTTACAAGGTCCTCAATGTAATTTTTAATAATATTGAGAAATGTAGATAATTGTTGCATAAGAACGCATCTACTGACCATCCAGTTTTGGTTTTGTCTTTTTGTTTTTTGTTTTTTTGAAGATGGGTTTTCACAATGTTGGTCAGGCTGGTCTTGAACTCCTGACCTCAGGTGATCCGCCTGTCTTGGCCTCCAAGTGCTTGAATTACAGGCATAAGCCACCACGCCCGGCCAGTTTTGTTTAAATATGTAGCTTAGTAATCATCTAGTGATTATTAAAATCACCACAGATCAAGCCCGTGCAGTATCTTTAAATTTGTCAGCCCTGGTATTTGTTGTCCTCATAACATAACTATTATAACTGCATTGTTCAGCATTTTCTTTTTCTTTTCTTTTTTTTTTTTTTGACAGAGTCACTCTTGTAGCCCAGGCTGGAGTGCAGTGGCATGATCTTGACTCACTGCAACCTCCACCTTCTGGGTTCAGGCAGCTCTTCTGCCTCAGCCTCCTAAGTAGCTGGAATTACAGGCACTCACTACCACACTAACTTTTGTACTTTTAGTAGAGACGGGGTTTTGCTATGTTGGCCAGGATGGTCTCAAACTCCTGACCTCAGGTGATCTGCCTGCCTCGGCCTCCCAAAGCGCTGGGATTCCAGGCGTGAGCCACCATGCCTGACCCTGTTCAGCATTTTCTTAAGGCCCTTTTCTTATACAGGTCTTGTCTTAAAAATCTGTGGTTAGCTCTTTCTTGGTGTGGTTTCAGCAATCATAAATCATTCGAAGCCTGTTGTCTTGCCCTCAGGCACCCAAGTGAGTTCTGATTCTGAAGACCAAGATGACACCTGGTGTGGTCTTGTGAGTTGACTAGTTTTCTCTTACTATGTTAGGTGCTGTTGCCTTTTTAGATGAAGAGCATCTTATGACCACTTGTATCTGTTAAGCAATCTGTCATGACTGACTTCCCAGTCTGGATCATTTATGAGTCATTCATGATGGCTGCTGGATGTCAGGCAGCCAGAAAGGAACAGTGCAAAGTTTACTCTGTTGATTGCTTTTTTGTTATTTTTTTAGGTCCTAACACACTACAGATACAGTTAAAGCCCCAACATCTCTCTCTCTAATCCCATTCTCTTCTTCCCCTTCTCCAGAGGTAAAGTGCTATTCTGAATTTGGTGTTTATCATTTCCATTGCATGTTTTTTTATACCATTAACACATGCATGTACCCCTAAAAATATATCCTCATGTATTTTAAATTTTATGTTAATGGTGTCTTATTATTTTGTAACTTGCTTTATGACTACACAGTGAGATTTTCTGCTATGTTGTTTTCACTGTCAACTATTCCACTGTATGGCTCTGCCACTCCATTCCCCTGTGGACGTTTATTTCTGGTTTTCATCGTTGTAAACAATGACTCTCATGCTCCACAGGTCCTAGTTTCTCTAGAAGTCGGATTTCCTGTTGATAGGGTAGATGAATTTTACCTGACGTTATTAAATTGCTCTTTCAAGCTGATGTGCCAGTTTGCCCTTTCTTTATTTTTTTTGAGACAGAGTCTCACTCTGTCACCAGGCTAGAGTGCAGTGGCACGATCTCGGATCACTGCAACCTCTGCCTTCCGGGTTCAAGTGATTCTCCTGCCTCAGCCTCCCAAGTAGCTGGGACTATAGGCACACACCAACACACCCAGATAATTTTTGTATTTTTAGTAGAGACAGGGTTTCACCACGTTGGCCAGGATGGTCTCAATCTCTTGACCTTGTGATCCACCCACCTCAGCCTCCCAAAGGGCTGGGATTATAGGCATGTGCCACTGCCCCCAGCCCAGTTTACCCTCACCAACCATGGAAGCGTTCCCCTCACTCCATATAATTGGTAATGCTTGATATGGTCATACTTATTTTTCTAACATTAATAAATTGATGTTTTGATATATACATCAGTTTTTGTGAGTTTGCTTATCACATGTCTATCACCCTTGCTGTAGTTTCTGGCCCTGCAGAGCCCAGAATCTCACTGTGGGTGATGTAAAAAGGATGAAAACTAAGCTACAGACTGGAGAAGTATCTGCAAACCATATATCAACAAAAGATGAGTAGAATCTAGAATATATAAATAATTCTCAAAACTCAACAGTAAAAACAAAATCCATTTAGAAAATGGGCAAAATACCACAGACAGAGACTTCACTGAATATAAGATGGCAAATAAGCACTTGAAAAGATCTTCAGGCCAGGCATGGTGGCTCAAGCTTGTAATCCCAGCACTTTGAGAGGCTGAGGTGACCAGATCACCTGAGGTCAGGAGTTTGAGACCAGCCTGGCCAAAATGGTGAAACCCATCTCTACCAAAAACACAAAAAAATTAGCTGGGTGTGGTGGCAGATGCCTGTTATCACAGCTACTTGGGAGGCTGAGGCAGGAGAATCGCTGGAACCCAGGAGGCAAAGGTTGCAGTGAACCAAGATTGTGCCACTGTACTCCAGCCTTGTCGACACAGCACAACTCCATCTTAAAAAAACAGAACAAAAAACAAGAAAAGATCTTCATCATTAGCTATTAGGGAAATGTAAATTAAAACCACAATGAAATATCCCCTACTATAATGGCTAAAATAAAAAATAGTGACAACAGCAAATGAGGACAAGAATATGGAGAAGCTGCGTTACGCAGGCATTGCTGATGGGAATGTAAAACGGTAGGCACTCTGGAAAAGTTTCAGATTTTAAACAACTGAAGCATGCCATTACCCTATGATCAAGCAAATGCAATCCTGGGCTTTTATCCCAGAGATATGAAAACTTATGTTCACAGCAGCTCTGCTTGTAATAGCCCACAAACTGGAAACAACCCCGGGGTCCTTCAGTGGACGAATGGTTAAATAACAGTACATCCATACCGTGGAATACTACTCGGCAATAAAAAGGAACAACAGATAGTACACGCAACCTAGATGAATATCCAGAGAATTATGCTGAGTGAAAAAAGCCAAGCCCAAAAGATTATATGCATACCACAGTTCAATTTACATAGCATTATTGAAGTGAGAAGATTATAGATGTGGAGATCAGATTAGTGGTTGCCAGAGGATAAGGGCAGGGGAAAAGAAAATGGGATGAAAGGGCAGTGGGAAAAGGGCAACCTGAGGGCTCCTTATGGTGATGGAAATGGTCTGTATCATTAGTGTCTTGGTCATGCTCTGGTACTGTAGTTTTTGCAAGATACGACTTCTGGGGGCAAGTGGGTAAAGGGGTACATGGCATGGGATCTCTGTATTATAACTCTGTATTAACCTAGAAGTTATCTTAAAATATTTTTAAGCCAATAATTCTGTAAGTTCTTAATAAAAGTTAATGAACACAAACTAAGAAGGTAAGAATTTCAAATATCAATCAGGACTGAAAAAGGCAGTACTAGTCTTGGCCTTTTTATTTTTTATTTTTTTGAGATAGGAGCTTGGTCCATCACCCCAACTAGACTGTGGTAGTGTGATCATAGCTCACTCATTGCAGCCTTGATCTCCTGGGCTCAGGTGATGCCCTCCCTCAGCATTCTGAGTAGCTGGGACTACAGGCATGCATCATCATGCCCAGGGAATTCATTTTTACCAGAGATGAGGTCTGTGTTGCCCAGGCTGGTCTCGGACTCCTGGGCTCGAGCAGTCCTCCCGCCTGAGCCTCC